AAATGCGCCATTCTTGTTTCCATAGCACCAGGCGGTCTCAGACTTTGTGGCAGGAGGAGTACTTAGCTTGGACAGACTATATACTAATAAGAAAACTAATAAATAAACAAATTGAGAATTAAAATTCTTTATGTTTGTTATGTTTAGCTTAAAGTAGAAAATATTTTTTCTTTTTAGACAGTAAGTTGATATTGTATAGTAGGGGTGCTCAACCTGCGGCCCGCGGGCCAAATGCGGCCCGCCAACCTTCGATGTGCGGCCCGCGGCCGCAATCTGAACAAAATGGAAAAAAAAAATTAAATATTTGTTTTTGAAAAATAATAAAAAAAATTCGGTAATTTAAATTTACACTTTTAAGTTTTTGACGCACCCAATCTCAATCAATGTAGTTTTTCGATGGTTAACGCTACGGATTTCAGCATAGTTTTAAAAATCCCAATATTTTTAATACATCATTATTACGATTTACGAATTTTAATTACCACTTTTGACGCTTTTCGTATGTGCCGATTCCAATGACTTTTCGGTAGTTATTGCTACCCATTTTCAAGTAGTTTCTGAAATAGCGATTTTTGAAAGTTATGAAACGCTTTATTTGTGCAAACTTCATGGAAAATCTAAATGACTTTAGATCCTTTCTTCAACAGTTATTGCTGCACATTTCCGCCCGGTTTTTAAAACTTCGATATTTTAGCACGATATTATTACGAATCGCGAGTAAAGAATCGCTCATTTAGATAACCATTTTTTGACATGGCTTATTTGTAACGATTTTATCGCAAATCAAATTATTTTTCAATCGTTATTTTAGAAATTATTGCTACACATTTCTACAAGGTTTTGAAAGTACCGATATTTTTTATACGCTATTGCGACATTTTAATTTCAAATCTCGCATTTAAATTACATAAAATTTTGATGGACTTTATTTACTCCAATTTCATCTAAAATATTAAAGTATTTTGGTTATTGTTTTAGTAGTTATTACGTTTTCCCCGTGATTTAAAAAGATTATGATATTTTTAATACTTTGACAGCAAGCGAGTTTTGAATTGCGCATTAAAATAATTATTTTTTACGTGCTCTGTTTGTGCCGATTTTATCATTTGCGTTGTACCGATTTTAACACGAATTTTTTAAGAGGTTTTTCGAAAGTGTTTTTTCTTCTTTCCCGTTATTGCTGCATTTTTATTTGTGATTTAGAATATACCTGATATTTTCACACAATATTACAACTCGTGAAATTCGATTCAGCTTTAATTTTTTTTCGTAACTTAAAAAGTAATTACGTATCTTAGCCAAATCAACACCTTCCCAGGAAAAAAAACCGAGATGTGTTTATATTAAACGCGGTCCGTTTTGCAAAAAAAAAAATTCAAAACACGGCATAATTCTTTAGTCCCATGAACACGTGCAAGTTTAACAACACACATCGAACCTATTCTTTTTGTTGTCACATGTAATTTAAAAGTCATACATCGTAATTTGTATTTACGCTATCTGAAAATTGCGCATCGCATTTCGTATTAACATTAACGAGATTTAAAAATAATCCATCGCGTTTCGTATTTACGGGATTTAAAATCACATATCGCGATTCGTGTTCTGGCGTTTAAAATATCATCCGTTGCTACTTTTCTCGCAATTCATATGCACGCGTTTTAAAAACCATATATCGCGATTCATATTCATGCATTTTAAAAATCAAGTGTTGTGAGTAGTCCTTTCGCAATTTAAAAGCCACACGATTCGTATTCACGCGATTTGAAAAACAAGCATCGAGTTTTTTATTTACGCAATTTAAAAATCACACATGGCAATTCGTATTCAAGCAATTAAAAAATAACACATAGCAATTCGTATTCAAGCAATTAAAAAATAACACATCGCTATTTGTATTTCCGCGATTTAAAAACCCAGAAAGGAAGAACACCATCTAGGACAAATTCCAAAACTGATTATGTTATTTGCTCTAAGTTTAATACTACCCACAACAACAGCTTCTGTCGAAAGACTGTTTTCCAGAATGAATTTGGCCTGTTCAAAATTACAGAGTAGTCTTTAAATACAATCATTACATTTTCATTTAATGGCTCAAAAAATATCACATGATCAAGTAGATAAAATTATCACAATATTCAAAAATTTTGCAAATTACAGTATAACCATTAAGAAATTTTTTAAACCATTTTCTACCTTCTTGGAGCATTTTATATCATTTATGATTATATGCTGGGAAATGATTTGTATATCATTAAATTTTAACTGTATAAAAAATTTAATCAAGATAAGTTTCGTAAAGTAATGTAAATTTTATTGATTGTTAATTGATTGTGTATTAATTGTAAATAGTAAGTGTCATGTTAAAAATATATTCGTCATAAAAAGTTGTAAACAAGTATCTTAATAGTTTTTTATTATTAAGGAATATAGTTCCTTAAAATTTAATGTGTTTTCTTTCTTTCTTTTTCTTCCCTCTCTCAGCCTCTTATTATTAATTTAAAATAAAAATGTCTGAAAGTTAAAGTACATTCCCTAATAAATGCTAAATCTTATTTTCCACTTAAGGGGTTTTGTTTTAATCATTTTTAACCCTATAAACTTTCTTTAAATCAAAGTATTTAACTTGAATTTATATTAATAACTAGAATATTTATTTATTTGAAATTTAATTCTATGAAGAAAAAATTTAACGTTAAAATCTATGTTTAAATGGACTTTTGTATTTTGTAATGTGATAAAAAAAATTTCAATTTTTCCATAGTTTTTAAATTATTTCAATTTATCTAAATTTTTTCTGATAAATTGATTCTGATTTTCGAATTCTGTTTTCCTTCTTAAGTAATCAGTTTTGCATTTTCTAATTTTAAACGTTTTAAAGTATTGTATTTTCTGCAAAGAGATTACAAGGTTAACCGACAAAAAGAATTTAGTGTTATATAAACAATGATGTTTATATAACAATCACCACCAACAATTGCTTTCAATATGTCGGTCTAAACACTTTGGCATGCGACCCTTCATTGGTCAATCTTCTGTGCATGTGGCCCTTCACTGAAAAAGGTTGTGCACCCCTATTGTATAGGAATATGTTTCAATAGACTTTAAATATATATTTTTTAATATTTAATTGATTACCATCTTCTCATGCCTTAATTGTCCAAATGCTAACAAACAGTAATCCGAAAATGAAGTAATCTAATTAGTTTTGGTTAAGAAAAAAGAGCGCCGAAACATTCTTAAGTGGTTTAAATTAAATGCTTGCTTATAAATAACAACATTCCTTTTTTCCTTTATGCATACTATCAATGACCTTAGATGTCTTATACACTTTTAAGTAGTATGCTTATGAAATCCTAGTTAAATGATATTTTTCAATATGAAAGTGCCTCTAAGGACTCTTTTAGAAGGTTTGAAGCTTTATGAATAAGAGGTGTTTTAAGATAAGACTATGGATCCAGGTTTTTTAAATTTCTGGGTTTTTATTTTTAAAAGTGGATCCTTTTACTTGAAATTATACTATCTCCCCTTTAAAGACTTACATAAAAAATAACTGTTTGAATGATTAGTAAAAAAATTCAATTATTAATTAATTCAGTAATAATAAATCACAGAAAATTAAAACTGAATTTCTTTATTTTTTCAACTCAAAATTATTATCTCCTGTCATAGAGTTAAAAAAAAAGTTACACTGAATTTTACTTATGTATATTTGGTGTATAAAGCCATCGGTGGAAATAGTAAATCGTATTCGAGATTCCTTTGTGAAAAATCCTAGGGAGTCAATTCGTCAAGCAAGCTCAACATTCCAGATCCCAATAATGAGTGTGTGGCATATTTCATGAAAGCAGCTGTAAATGAAACCTCATCAACTGCAATTAGTGCAAAATTCGCGGGATATGAATGTTCAGTTACAATTATCTTTGAATTCTCAACAGATGATAGAGCAAGAAATTTTTCAGATAAAGTGATCTAAAGTGACAAGTGCACATTTCTTGTGTGTGGCAATGTTAATCCATTAAATGTTTTCATTTAGGACGTGCTAATCCTTTGGAAGTTTTGGCTGACGTGTATGATTCTAAAGTTTATGTATTTGCTATTATGTTTTCTTTACTAATGCATGGCCATTTTTCTCTGCAGAGAAAACTATTAATGACATTGTTTACCTATGCTACAACTGTGTTTCATGCTACAATCAAAGGAAGATCGTTAGTTTGGTCCATTTTTTAACAGGATGTAGCCCCCCCCCCATGATCTTGACAGACATTCATGATTTCTTATATAACGAGCTTCCTCTTTGTTTGATAAGACACAGGTTGGACTACAGCAATTGCTTTCTTTCATGGCCACCACCCTCTCCAGACTTGCCTCCCTGTAATTCTTTTTATGAGGTTACATCAAAGATTTTGTGTGTGCTTCATAAGCCATGTGATTTAACATAATTACAACAAAGTATCACGACTGCTTTTGCTACCATTGATTGTGACATTTGCAGCAAATGCGGCAAGAATTTGACTTTTCTGCTGATTCAAAATAAGTTTTTCTGTGGCAAAAATTTTTATGTTTCTTTATTGGAAAATATAAAATTTTTTGATTTTATTTTAATGATTTGTTTGTTATAAGCTTTCCAAACTCCTGGGAAAATTGTGATACACACTGTATATATAATTTAAGTTTTAAATGAGTGTTGTAAAGTTTTAAAAATGTTTACACGACTTTAAAAATGTCTGTCTAGACATTCTTGCTTTTTTTAGTCTTTAAACAGGAGTATAACTTGCATTATATTGGCATAGCTACAGGCAGAGTTATAGTTTTCTACAACTGAGGAAAAGAAAAAGACAAAATCTCTTTTAAATAATGAGTTAGAAAACATAGACTCACACTATTTTCAGTTGTGCTACTTTTTTGTTGAGTTTTTTTTTTTATGTTTGATTTCTAAAACAAAAGTAAATTGTGTAATGAATTTAAATTTTCCCTGTTCTGCAATATTCATACAAATCTTATAGTTTTCATTTTATTATCTTAATTTTTTAAAAATATAAATGGATGATGTTATATTTCTCTTGATCATCAACCCTTTGCTCATTTGATTTAATAAAAATGAGGATTATCAATTTTTACATTGCAGAAATGTTATGTGTGAAACTATAGGACCGTTCACGAATTGTGCTGAAATTGAGGTATTTTATCTTTATATTTTTCAATTTGTCAGTACCTGGTTTTCAGACTTCTGTGCGTTAGATTTCCTTATCTTAAAAGTTTATTTGTGTGATTTCCAGGGTTATTTTCTTATTTACCATTTTTAAAAAAATGCAATAATGAATCAAATATTGAATAATTGAAAATTGTAAAGTTCACTTTACATTATAAATGGTCAGATGATTATTACATGTCTGTGTAATATATAAACTTTTTACTGTATATTTAAACAATGTTTTTTTTTTTAATTTTAGAAAGGCTGAAACTGCTTTAAATAATGTTTCAAAGGAGAATGCCGCTCCACCAGAAACAAAAGGATCCAAAGTAATTGCTCAGGTGGCATATGTAACTCTTAAAGAATTTGATGCTGTTCCTAAGTTAGTAGACATCTTTATTATTTCCGTATTTTTTTATAAAATTTAGTTTTTTTTTGATTAATTATAGTTTTAAAAGTTACTTTTAGAAGTAAAAAAGTTTCTTCAGAAACTAACTTTACTTCAGAAAATAAAGTTAAATATAAAGTAAAAATTATCATATTTGATGTAACATGTCTAAATATGCCTGCTGCCCTTTGTTATTCAACCTGCTCTGCAAGTGGTCCTTCACTCAAAGAGATTGTGCAACCCTAATGTAAATATTAAATGATTTCTTTGAAATACTAATTGATATTAAATATTTATTTTTATTATTTATTGAAGTTATAATTAATGTTGAAACTTCCATGATGTTTTTGATTGATATCAGATGTATATGCCACGGGCAATGTAAATAATTGGGCATTGTTTATAATGCCCGGGCAATTTAAAAAGTGCCCAAAAGGATATGATAAAATGATAAATTATGTTGCAATTATTACATTGCCCGTTTATTATGTATAATGCTAAAAGTCAAGTGGGCAATTTCTGTCACACACAGCCACAGGGTATCTTGGGATATTCATCCACTTTTAGATGCACCTGGATAATTTTTTTAAAAAATTTTTCCCGCACATGCGCTGTATAAAGCAACTACTTCAATTACTCTTATCTGGCGCAGTTTTTATTATTATTTTTTT